CCTTCTCCCCTCCTTATTGTCAATGCTTGTGAAAGACACCATGCTGACACAAAAGCACGAGGGAAGGGGCCTCTGAGTCTTCCTCGGGGAGTGAGGAGAAACACCACTCACTCAGTTTTGCTAGAGCATGGAGGGGAGAGCGCTACTGCATAGACAGTCAGAGTCCAACTTACTGAATGACCTTATGTGTAAAAGGGTTTTGGTGTATTCTGTAAGCATAGAGAGTCACAGCATGATTATAACTAGGGCATGGCTTAATCAGTTTGGGTTTCAAAGTTCATGCTGACTGTCTTGTGAAGGATAGTTTATAATGACTGTAGTTACAGAATCAGAGATAGTAGCATAGAAACTGCTGCTCTAATTGCAGTATAGACCTGAATCGTACCCAGGAACATTGGACACCTGCATGATGGAATGTTTGGGGCACCCAAAAGAAGCCGGATAAAAAACTATGAGCCTACATTGGGAACAGATTAGGGAAACTATATACCTAAGCCATAGCAAGTGCTCTTACTTCTAGAGCCTCTGGATGAGAAGAATGTATTAAGGTACCAATTTATATGGGCCAAGATTAACTCCTGTAAAATATGCCCCTGCTCTTATTTTATAGGAGAAAGCAAAGTTTAGGTCATAGGCCTCAAAGTTCCCCACACCTTGATTTTTACCCATCACACTTGGGTATTCTCCCAAGGCAGCCTTAGCATGACAGTGTTTACAATCTGAAGGAGGCTGACAGCCCTGTAGAGTGCTGTCATGATATTTGGCCCTGATATCAAGGAGGGCAGAAGACCAGGCCTTATGTGGGTGTTGGGGAGAAGACGGGAGAACACCTGGCTCTGTGACAGTCTGGTCGCCCATGGAGCCACATAGGGGCTGACAGGGAAACATGGAAGAGGTGTCTGAGCAGCCAGGCGTGGGCCCCCTTCACATCTCCAGGCAGAGGAGGGTGGCAGGGTGGCTGCTGACATTTTGCCTCAGAAGCATACACACAGTATTACTCAACCATAAAAAGGAATGAAATACTGATACATGCTACAACGTGTATGAACTTAAAAACATTATGCTAAGTAAAAGGAAACACTTAAAGATCACCTATTGTATGATTCTATTTATATGAAATATCCAGAATAAGTAGATCCACAAAGACAGAAGAGGCAGAAAGCAGATTAGCATTTTCGAGGGGCTGGAGAAGAGGGGGTAGAAGGGAATAACTGCTTAATGGGTATAGGGCTTCCTTTGGGGTGACTAAAATATTTTGGAACTAGATAGTGGTGGTTGCACAACAGTGTAAATGTACACAGCCCGCAGCATCATGAGCCTCAGAACAGATATTGGACTATGATACAGACCTGGGTTTGAATTGTAGCTCTACTAATTTGTATTTGTGAGACCACAGGCCAGTTACTTAACTTCTAAGAGGTTCAGCTTCCTGTCTGAGTAGTAACCTGTCTCATATGGTAGCAGTGAGGATTCACTAAAATAATGTATATTAAGTGCATTTCACCATGTCTGACAAACACATAGCAAGCTTTAAATAAATCCTACTATTAATATTACCTGTACTCCTCACACAGATAACCCAAAGTTATTCAACTACTTTTAATTCTCAGGTATCTTTAGGCCACACCTGATTTAGTCGAATGTAAGTGTTCTTTGGCTAAGGGAGTTTGCCATGAACAAAGATTTCCACATAACAGACAACCTGTTTATAATTAAAAAGAAATGTGAACTATAGGTCCACAAAGGTATAAGCTACAGCTACCTCGGTGCAGGCTCATAGTAAGTACCATTAAGTGATGATGATCCTCTGTCTTGGATGCACCCTCAGAATCCTTCTAACACGGCATTTGAGGAAGGCAATCACGTGGTCAGTGTTGGGATACAAGATGACACCAATTTGCCATCTTTTTCTTCTGCAGTTTGTTCCTCTCAGAAAGGCACATGTGACCAAGAAATCTTGGTGCAGAATGTACATTTGGTTCCTGAAGACCGTGATAAAGGCCAGAGAATCATTGATTACTGAAATACCCCTCTTTTACTATTGGACAGTAGGCTTTGGGGGAATTTAACATAACGCTTAACATTGGAGAAATATTTAAACAAAAAACAAGATGAAAAGAAAGGGAAGAAGAAAAGAAGAAAACACTATGGCTTGATGGCATAGAAATTTGAAGATGACTTGGCATTGTGATGATCTTCTACTGTATTCAAAAGATTTTACATTTGATCTTCACTGGCAAAGGATGGATACTGTTGTCCTCACCCGCATCTCACGAAACAGGCTTGGAGAACTCAAATGTCTTATGGTCGTGTAATCATCAAGTCATGGACTGTATTCATTTGCTAGACTTTCTATAACAAAGTACCGTAAACTGTGTGGCTTACCCAAGATACTTATTGCCTTACAGTTCTAGAGGCTCAGAGTTCTGAGATCCAGACCTAAGACTGGAAGGGCCATGCTCCCTAAAGAAGGGTCTTTTTCAGACCTCCCTCCTAGCTTCTGGTTGTTACTTGGCCTGTGGCAGCGTAACCCCAGTCTTCACATGATGTTTTCTCTGTGTGTCTGTGTCCAAATTCCTCTATAAAGACACCAGTTATATTGGATGTCTTTGTATTATAAAGATACCACTACTCCAGTATGATCTCATCTGAACTAATTACATCTGCATTGGCCCTATTTCCAAATAAGTTCACATTCTGGTTATTGAGGGTTAGGACTTTAATACATAGTTTTAGGTGACACAGTTCAACTCATAACATGGAATGATTAAAGTCAGGCTTTCTGTACATGCATGAGGAGCATTACCTGAGCCCAAAGGTTAAAGCTTGGCAGCTTGGGCTGCCCTTAAAGACAAGAATTCCCATTATTCACTAAATAGCCTTTTAAAAAATACTTCTTTCAAAAAAATATTCAATAGTCCCTCAAATAAAAAATGAATTATGGGATTTCCCCCTTCTCTAGTCATTAACCTGGTATTACAGCTATATCATGCATTTGATAACCTTAGAAGGTTCAAGATTAAAATACCATGAGGTAAACAACCAAAAGGAAATGGAAGACCAAGAGAATCTATGATGACTCATTATATTCAAAATCACTGTTATAAATTTTGAATCCATTAAAAAAAAAAAACAGCCCTTCCCTCCTTAGTGCCAATGGGCTATGTCTGTTATTTTTATCCCTGACAGAAATCATGAGTGGGCTAGAAGAATGTAGTAGTGGTGACATGACCTTCATTTCCATTTTTAATTAAAATCTTACTGACCCAAAGCCAGATTTTCTTCTGCATCAGAGCCTGTGGAAACTACAGTGGAAACTAAAGTGGCCAAGGAATGGAGGACAAGGCAAAAGACCTAGAAGGAGCGTCCCCCTGGTCACTCTGTGCCCCTACCTTGTCCTCACTTTCCCCGTCTCTCCCAGTGTACACATCAGACTCCGTGGGGATCTAACTGCCCCTCCTTGAGGCCCACTTCTATTGTCACTCAACACCCGATAGGCCCCCTGGCTCTCCTTCCTGACTCTTGTAGCTCTTCTGATGGCATCATTACTGTGAGTTATAACATTCATCATTAGCACTCACATTTTTTGAGCTCTCACTTAATTCTTGCAGCACTCTAGATTGCTCTCTGTCTATACACTCTTCATTCTACTTATAGATAGAGCCCTGGTACTGACTGGGGCCCATGATAGCCCTATTAGAAGGCTACATTTCTTGGCATCCTTTGTAATCAGGTGTGGCCATGTGATTAAGTTGTAGCTAATGGTACATTGTATGAAACTGCTAGAAAGTATTCTTAAAGTAAGGAAACTTTCATTTCTCTCCCCTTCCATCTGCCTATAAAAAGCATGTAGATGTTGGAGCTACAGCAGCCATCTTGGCTCATGGGGTGCCCTAGAGAATGGAAATCACACTTAATGGGACAGCAAAGGTCGGGAGTCTGGGTGGCTGCCATGTGCCCTGCTAGGCCAGCAGTATAATCAGTACATGCATGCCTAGCTCCCAGCTTATTTTATGTGAGAGAAAATAAAAGTCTACCATGTATAAGCCACTGTTATTTGGCATTTTCTATCACAGCAGACTTGCTCTTAATCCTAAGTGGTTATCATGCAAGTATTAGCACTCCCATTTTACAGATGAGGAAACTGAGGCTCATAAAGGTTTAAATAATCTTTACTTGTTTAAGGTAAAAAATCTAAGTGGCGGCATAACCTGACATCAGATCCTGTGCTTTTTCTCTCTCTAACATATGTTCTCTACAAAGACCTTTATGCATGCTGAAAACACTGGAGTCATGTTTAACTCTTCCCTGTCTGTAGCACCTGTCTCCTCCTACATTAGTTGCCAAGCCCTGCGGGTTCTGCCTCTCAGGGTCCTGGCATCCATTTCTGTCTACTACTCCTTTTTATGAAGAAATCTGCAGCTGCCTGACAGCAGGGACAGAGGCACTCAGTCTGGACTAGATGTGCCTGGGATAGGTGACAGAGGTCAGGCTTTCTGCAAAGTGGGAGTGAAAGTAAGCGTGCACTCCAGGTGTTGCTTCTGTTTTTACTTGCACTGGAGCTGATTCTCTCAGGCTGAGTTTGAGGGGGCAGTGCTGCTGCTGCTGAGAAGGGAATGAAGGAGTGTGTGTGTGTGTGTGTGTGTGTGTGTGTGTGTGTGTGTGTGGCATGAGCTGTGGAAGTCAGTGAGCTGAAGTTTAAATAAAAAGTAGGTGGAGAGCAGACCGGAATATTTCAGAGGTGTCAAAGATGAGATATTCACTGATAGGTTTTCTTTCTTTTTTCCCCAAACAAAAGGTCTCACATATTCGTTACTGAATTTACTAATACAGAAACATAGAAACAAAGAGAAAAATAATTTTCCCAATATAACATGTCCAACCATCCAGATAGTGGTGATGTTTTCAGCTTGATATAGTAAGATGCTAGTGACCTTGATATGGCACAAATTTGGGTGCCATCTCATTCTGATTCCTTATAGGCCTAGCTTGGTTCCTTTTTAATGTTTCCTCTTACAGTAGTACCTGATTTTATTGACAGTTTTCATCTGAATACACTGGGGAATGGAAATATTCTGCTTTTGTTTCTTGGCCAGGAATTGTTTGATCCTAAAAGTTTTGTGAGAAAACATAGCAAGGAATGAAGTCAATTGCTCACACCATGATGGCAGAGAAAAGGAGAGGGGGACAACAACGTTTTCAAAAAGCAGATTCGGCGTGGTGGTACAGAGCCGAGGCAGAGAGTACTGGAGTAATGACCTGTGCCGGCTGAGCATGAACACTGTGGCAGGTCTGATGGGGTTCAGATCCCATCTCCACCACTGACTCACTGTGGTTTGGGACGCCTGGCCTCTTGCTACCTTAGTGTCTGTAAAATGGAGATAGCATTAGAACTAACTCATAGGATTATGAGGATTAAGTGAATTATGCAATGTGTAAAGAGCAGAGCCTGGCATGAGTAATATATTATTATATTATATAAATTATTATTATTATTATTATTTGCCAGGTTCTACATACACATTTTGTAATTTAATCCTACAGTAACCATATAAGGCAGGTATTCTAAGCCCCAACTTGACAAATGAAGACCTAAGGTCAGGGAGGTTAAATATGTTCCCCAGGGCTGCACAGCTAATAGGTGACACGGCTGGATGCACATACTGGTCTTCCAGGGCAGCCTCTCCTTGATGTAAGCCATGTCCCCAGCTGCCCACCCCCCAAAGCCATGGACATGGACACACAGACTCTGCAAAGTTCACCATCACTTCTGTTTACTTCAACTGCAGACTCTTTTTGATTTACAATATGAAATTCAAGTATAATTTTAAAATGAAGAAGAAAGAAAGAAAAGCCAGTATGGGATAAACTGCACAGAGTATCATTTAGACTAATCTTACCTAATTCACCTAACATAATGTGCCATAAGCATTACTGTGAAATCTGTAATGATATATGCTACAGACCTGATTTCTCATAAGATCTAAACTGACAACTGTCAGGAAATAAATAGACTATGCTAACTAGAGTCAGGAGCACCCATTTTACTATGCCTTTTGCTTATTCTGGATGAAGCTAAAACTCTCATTTGTAAAGTTTCTAGGACAAAAATATATTCCTGGCATATGTGGACACCGCACAGAGTTCAAACTTCAAGTCACACTAAACCACTTGGTTTACATGTTGAGAAAATCAGATTTTATCAGCTGAGTTTATAAATGGGATAGAAATGAGCTCAGATCAGGCCCTCTGTGTCTGTAGATCATCTATTAGATAATCTAAATTAGACGCTCTTTAGGGAGATAAAACCTTGAAACACATAGCTTTACTTGTTCTTACAATGGAAGGAAAAAAATAATCTCAAGTTTTTAATTGGGTTGCTTTTGTATCAATCAATATATATTCAGAGGGGAGAGGAGAATTTGGGGGATTTTAATCAGATTTTTTTTTAATTTTGAGCTTCTCCACGAGTTTTTATTAATTCACTAATTCCCTGTAGCTCAAAGATGCTAATTAATTCAAGAAGCCATAATAGCTAATCATTGGCTAAATAAATCTAAATGGAGATGCTACTATTCATTTTAATTAAAATTACCAATTTGTGAAGTAATGTAAATAAAGGTTATTGTATCCTTCAACTACAGGAAGTATTAACACTTTGCATGGCCACCTGAGAATCCAACAGAACTTAAAAAGCCAAGAATATTGTGGAACTTAGTAACTGAGTTAGGATATTTATCATTCCAAGTGTGTTGTTCATGGACATTATAAAGCCATGTGGAATTAAGTTGCTTTGAAACACAAACTGGAGAATGACAAAGAGCTGAGAATTGTTGCCTTGAAGATTCCTTCCAATCAATGTCAAGGAAACAACCACCCCAAAATTGTTACCTTTATAAAAATTCATGCATAGAGAAAAACAAAAGTTCCAGGTCTAAGTTTCAATTTTTAAGGAATAAATTTATGCAAATGCCCATTAATCTTAATAATTTATTATTTCAGAGTGATCACACCTTCCTAATATGCAATGCATCTGCTTGTAGCCATCTGAATGTAATTTGGAGGGACAGAAAAGGCCGCCTCAACATTTCATGACTAAATGGTCAGGCTCAGCCATGAAGATGACTCTGGGAAACAGACACAGCTGCATGCTTAGCAGTTCAAGCCAGCCAACCCGGAAAAGCAGTGTGTGCAGATAAGCATAGGGTCAAGTCGTCACTCATTCCACAGCTGAGCAGCCTTGGTGCTCTTGGTTTTGCCCTTCACTAAGAAAAATCCATCTTTATTATCTCACTAATCAGCTCAAGAGCCATAGATGATGAAGTCCTAAGTCTAATTTCTAATAAAACCCAAAAGTTTTAGAGGGAAAATGAAAAAGCATAACTCTCAGATGCCTTTTGCCCAATGGCTGGGAAAGTATTTTTGTGGTTTAGTCTAAAGAAATTAGTTTGAATTTTAAAAAGGAAGTGACATCCATTAGGACTAAGGTGAAGCTGGCAAAGGAAAATTATTGGTGTCTTATCAAAAGGCTACCTCCTGACAAAACAGAAGTCTGGCTGAAACTTGAACCAGATAAACTTGTTATGCAAATAGCTTTAGCCCAAGGGGAAAAGACTGATAATGAAATCACTGCAAAGCCAACATACTAAAGAATAACAAAAAACGTAAGGTCCTATCATATGGGTAGAAAGCAGTGCAGAATTTATGTGAGCATCATGTTTAATTTATCATTAATAAGCTGTCAGGGGTCATATTTTGACAAACGCATACTTCACACATATAAATGAGTCAACTATCACTAATGACCAAAGGTTTAAAACCAAAAAGCATAATGTATCTTTTCTTTTTTTAAACCCCAAAACAAATTTACTAATAAGATTTTAGACCTTCTTAAAAAACTCTCCTAGTGTCCCTCAATTAAGAAGGCAGGAAACAATTCTGAAGAACACTGAGCTGGCCCCCAGCATTCCTCCCACCCCACCTCTTCCAAGCTTTCGCTTTCTCTTTCCCTCTTGCCATACAGTTCCTTTGGGGAAAGGCAACCATCACGGATCAAGAAAGACTGAAATTACTGAATCACTTTCCCTATGGCTCAGCAGTCACACGGGAACAGGGTATTAAAGGTTTTTAAAGTTGTTAAATAATCTCTTGCCCTATATAGTCTTTAGAGAGAACCAGTTTATTTACTTTAATACAATGTACCGTGGCACAGTCTGTAATAGGAACTGAAACAATTATTTGGATAATTTAGGTTAAAAACACTTTTCCTGAGAACTACCAGATAATCATCTTCTTCACCTCAGTCCCGACCACAAGAAGAGGACAATCTGAAAGTCGCTATGCTCCACACTTCTTCCCTATACCTCCCAATGAGCAAGGTTAAGTATAGAAGCAAACCAAAGCTTTCTCTTTAAATACACATTTCTAATCCAGTGAGTATCACTATTTAGTTAGAGATTTGAATAAACAGAATGAAATAGTATGGGAAAGTTGTATTTGGTAGGCTGAGTAAAACATCCTCAGAATAACCAGGCTCATCAATGAAACCAAAGGATACTATTTGGGAATAGTGGGGAGGTTTCTACCTGAAGATATAAAATACAGCAATTAGTTCCTAATCTTGAGAGTTGTGTTTGTAAAAATCTTGAAAGAGGAGAGAATTCATGCTTGAAGAAACTAAGATATTATGGGGAAGATAAGATTAGGGAGCTGAGGTCAGGAGAGAATCTATGGTTACCTATAATACATAATATTTTCACTAATAAAACCAGTAAGAACAACTCATCTAGCAAATAAATAAAGATGAGATTGACAGCATTTTTCAATATCTTAAATTAGTAATAAAGCACATACTCACTCAACTCCTATTTACCTTCCTTGGTTCATTAGAACATTTCAGACTTTCCCTACCCTGAAGTTTCAAGAAGATATTTTTGCTTTACCCCTGGTAGCATGTATACTAAAGGCATTGTTTTCTGTGTTTAGTCCTCCATTCTAGTATCAAGACTTTCTAAGTCTAAAGTATATCAGAATGATTGCATGTGGAATTCCTGGAGTTGGAGAAAACACAAGCAGATTTAGATGGGCATGTAATAGAATTTGCCATAAAGAAAAATTCAGTGGTAGACAGGGACTTCTTTAATGTGTTTAACACTGAAAGTACCAACCCCATCAATTACATACCTTTACTTCCAAATCCATCCAAGCAATACCATACTTGGTTTAAGAACAGAAACATAGAAAAAATATAGACAAGCCAAACTTTAGTGAGTCAAGTCACATTTTAGAGGTACCACAAGAACTTGGAATAAGAAGGTACATTTGTGAATTTGTAATGGGTTTTCTAAGCCAACAGTTTAGAGAAGGTCAGTGAAGGGCATCTGTGTGCAGCAACTGGATAAAAAGGAAAACTCTTTGGATCCAGTCTTTGCCAGCAAAATCACTGGAACCTCAGCCCCTGGATTTCATTCCTTGAGTTGATGCAAAATGTGTTCCCAGATACCAGGGTGCCTTTAGCACTCCAGTCTCCCCACCAACTCCTTTGGCTCCCACATCTCAGGAAGTGGCTCTTCCTCTGCATCTATGTGAACATCATCCCTCCTGCTGTATCTGTTGTTCCTCTCAGCACTGCCCAACATCACCACTTCACTGTGTCTGCTTCTGCATTCTACAGCCATCACAGAGACATGAGAATGGGACTGGAGGGGTAAGAAAATATCTTCCATCCTTGGCTATGAACTTCAGGGTCACATTCTCCCTTGGCCTTGCTTGGAGACTTCCTGGAATTCTTTACCACTCCTCTCTCCTGATGAAGATGGCACAATCCAGAAGGAACTGGACAAGCAAACAATTTTGGGGACCTTGAACTACATTGCATTTGAAGTCAAAGTGCTATACCGGCTCACAGCTCTTTATATAAAATGCTTAGGGCCAAATATGTTTTGGAATTAAGAATTTTATCAAATTTTAGAAAAGTAAATCAGTGCATTTACTGTATGTTATATAAAATCCCCAGCAGGATCTGGGGCAGCACACTATAATCAAACACACTAATACATCTGCAGCAATCCACATGAATATTCACACTGAGTGAGATAAATAATGACTATAAATAGCCTCACTTCAGCATAGGCCATGCATTGCCGTCAAATCAGTTCACATAAGGTCAGAGCCTGCAGCTAGATGACTCAAGCACAAAAAAAACTTTCATCTTTCATAACTCTTTGGATTTTGCATAAGGAGTTGTTGATCTGTATTGTGATTGATTGAAGAATGCTGTCAAGGGACTCCATTTGCTTTACCTCCCTGCCTCTTTGTGGAAACTAAGTCTGCACAAAAGTATGTTAGAGAAATTTGTATTGACCCTTCCCTACTTCCTCTTTATTAGCTGTTTGTGTCACTTCTTTTCTTCTCCATGACTTCGGAGTACCTTCTTTGGACACCGAGGGCACCTCTTCCTAGCTCCTGTGCTTGGATATGGCTCACAATGCCCCATCTAGATTCTTGCTCCTTCAGTTCACCAGCCCCATAGCCTGGTATCACAAGGTCCCTCCAGCACACTGAGCATGTTCCCCAGACCTGGGAGCACGGGGGTGCTCTGCCAGGGGCCCGGCCAAAGCTTGCACTCCGAGCACTGAGTCACACCCTATGGGCTGCTGTGGGTTTTGCTCCTGCCGTAGTCGTATTCCATCTTGCTTAGTTCCTGATAACTAAGGAAGTAAGTCATCACCCATTTGTGGAGCTTTCGTCTTGCTCTCCATACCTTCAGCCCTGGCTGGGGCTCCCTGTCTCGGTGCCTCAGGCCTGAGATCATACTTTGCCCCCTCACCATCTTGGGGACTGAAGCCCTGCTCCCATGCCACAGATCCTAGAGCAAAGCCCAACTTCCAACCTCCGGAATCTCTGCTGAAGGCTGCCCCCTTTTGTCTCCTGCCTCGTCCTAGTGTGAGCATCATATTTTTAGGTGTTGAGACTCCTCCCTTATCAAACAAGACACACTGTTAATATTTGCCCAGGACAGAGTAGATTCTCAGATAAATGTGATGACTGATTATAGCTAAGAGTCAAATGGAACTCTTTATTGTTCAAATCCTGCAGAGAGGCATCTTCTATCATTCACTGGAACAAATTCTGTGTCATAACATGCTAGAAGGCATAACAACTTCTAGCATCAAGTAAATTCCACAGCTTGGATCTCTCCAATCACTGTTCAAGGCCTTGCTGGATAAGCAATTTTCAGTGGAAGAAATACTCACTGTGAAATAAAGTGGTTGAACTCCTCACACCATTTTTCTGGATGAAGTAAAGTAGGTGGAGGATTTCTGAAAAACAAAAGCAATTTTTTTCTTACAAAAAAAAGTGTCTGGTTAAAGGCAAAGTATCCACCTGCCATTACTGATATCATTGTAAATAGCTCTGATAAAATCTATTCTTCCCTGGTGGGAATCATTCATTAGTGATAAATTGTAAAGTAGCAGCCCCTATTCCTTTAGTCCTTCATTTTCATTAACTGAAGGCCTACCTTGTAGGCCAACAGCTTCCTATAGTTCCTGTGAGGGCTGCAGAGATCAGGAACATTCCTTAAGAGTGGACATGAATGAGGGGTGAGATAAGCACACAACACTGTAACTAAGCATTATTAGTGCCATAAAACACCATAAACCTACTGCTCGAGGCTTTAGAGAAATAGACTTTCAATTTTACAGGATTTTAAGGTAATTATGCTACCATTTGAATTAATTATGTGATGCATATAAAGTATACTCATAAATTCATCAGTCACATTTTAAGCTATTTCTTATATGTCAACTTCTGCAATAGGCACTGAAGAAACAAAACAACTAAGACAATGCTCCAGACCCTAAGAGATTTCTGGGTAGAGAGGGAGGCAGACTAAGTATTAAGAAGAATTAAGTACTGAAGGTCTGAGAGAATTAAAAACTGTAAAAAGACTCAGGCATCAGATCACTTTTGGTGTGAAAGCAAGAAAAGGAGGAAGTAAGAGCCCTGCATTTGGCTGAATATTTATTCAAAGAGACTCAATTTTAAAACAAAGTAACATTACCTTTAATTAAAAAGATGGCTTTTTCCTAGCCATAAATGGAAACAGGAGCTTGTGGGCAAGTTCGGCAAATGAAAAATGTAACATTTCTATACACCTGAATTATGACTGTAAGGCTTAAGCTCAATGCATGTGATATTTCTTCTCACCTGAGTTCTAATTGCTTCCTAAACCCATAGATTGCTCAGCTTTAATTGGTAGAAGAATGGGCAGCAGCAGGAATGACCAGAAATAAAAAATGTATCAGATAGCATGATTGCAATTTGCCTCTCAATACTCATTTCTGCTCATACAATTTCTATTCTGGCACAATACTGCCACATAAAGACTACACTTTCTGAGTTCCTTACAGCCCATCTGGCCACATAACTGAGTTCTGGCTAATGATATATAACTAAAATCGTTTTGTTGTGTTTCCAGAAGTCTTCATGAAAGAGGGGATACATGCTACCTTTCTTCTTTACCCTTTCTGCTTCCTAGAGCATGGATGTGAAGGCGGAAGCTTGAGCACTCATTTTGGACCTGAGGTGAACTTGAAAAGGAGACTATGAGCTGAGTGTGGCAAAGAAGATCCATAGGAACTGGATGTATGATAACACTGCAAAGGCACCATGCCAGCTCTAGACTACGTCTCCCTAGTCTTCCTTAAGAAATAAACTTCCATCTTCTTTCAGCTACTGTTAAATGTAATTGATCCTAATTCAGCCAATTCAGAGGATTTATCCAATCACATGATTAGAACATAATTTGATGAGTGATACAATAAAAGCATAAAGGTACATGGGAGCATAATTAACTTACCCAATCTGGGATGTCCCAAAAGACTTTATAAAGAAGATAAACTGGCTGCTTAAGATTACGTTGGAAGACAGAGATTGGAAGGAAGCCATTTCAGTCTTAGGAGACAACATGGACCAGGTCATAGACATGTAAAAATATCTGTTAGGTTCAATGAATGTGAGTAATTTTGGGGGGACTAGATTACATGATACTTTCAAGTCTGGAGAGAAAGCACAGGGAAAAGGATGAGTGGGAAGGAAGAATGGTAAGAAAGGAAGCGTATGATTTCCCTGTTGTTTATAAGAATTTAATTATCTTACAGAACTTCTAATTCAAAGACCCAAAGGAAAATTTTCTGTGTACCCAACTAGAAAACATAGGATTAAAGAGTGCCCATCAGTGATTTTGGAGGCTGCCTCTATCCCATGCAATATTTATCTTCATCTTTACCCTGTATTTTTTTTTTTTGTTTGTTTGTTTGTTTTTTGTTTTGTAAAAAATTCTATTGTCTTAACGGGAAGTAAAAGCAGTATGATTTTACTTATTGCTTATTTAAACTGTTTTTTTTTTTGAGAGGGCATCTCTCATATTTATTGATCAAATGGTTGTTAACAACAATAAAATTCAGTATAGAGGGGTCAATGCTCAATGTACAATCATTAATCCATCTCAAGCCTAATTCTCGTCAGTCTCCAATCTTCTGAAGCATAACGAACAAGTTCTTACATGGTGAACGAATTCTTACATAGTGAATAAATTCTTACATGGTGAACAGTACAAGGGCATTCACCACAGAAACTTTCAGTTTTGATCACGCATTATGACCTATAAACAATCAGGTCAAATATGAATATTCGTTTGATTTTTGTACTTGATTTATATGTTGATCCCACATTTCTCCCTCTATTATTATTATTATTTTTATTTTTAATAAAATGCTGAAGTGGTAGGTAGATGCAAGATAAAGGTAGAAAACAGTTTAGTGCTGTAAGAGGGCAAATTTCCCTGTTTTTTAAATAATAAAAGTACCACCACATAACTTTTGCCTCAGCCACTAGACCTGTTCTTACTGGGTCCAGTTCTTTGAAATTTTTGTGCAGCCGCAAGTCCTCTCAGTTTCCCTCTGTAGGTCTCAGAGCAGCAGCCAGGTCATCCACCAGCATCTCTAGAGCCCTTTTTAGAGCTTGAGTTTTCCTTGCTTCTCTCAAGTTCCTGCTCATTCTGTTCTCACCAAGGTCAGTTTCACAGAGAAGAGCTGCTTAAGCAATCCACTGCCTAATAGACTTAATCACCCCCAAAGCAGTTAGACATGACCAAGAAGTCACTTGTGGACAAAATGAAGAGACTTGATTAAAACAGCCCTAGTAGGCTAACAATGGACAGCTGAGCATGGAGGGACAGCCCTCTACTGCAATCAGAGAATGACCTGGAGAAACGGATGGTGAGTGTGCATTCTCAAGTACAGGACACTATAATTTCCTGTTTTCAGTCACTTCTCAGTGGAAACTACAAGCAGGGGTTACTTTTTATGTGCTGGTCTGAAACTCTGCAGCAGAACACAGAGGAGAACAGCAGAAGATAACCCCTCATGCGGGCCGCCAGCAATCCCTGGTGGCCTCACAGGAAATCCACACAAGGAAACATTTTCTTTGAAGCTTGGCATCACAGGAATTTTGTTTTAGAGTATTTGACCTGCAGATGCTCTACCTTTCCTGAAGTCTACCCATCATACTTTGGTTTAGTAAATTGAGGTCTTGTGAAAGATTATTACCTGTATGTAATGAAAACCAAAAGGAATTGGAAGGCTTTACGTACTTTGTGTACATTGGCAATATAAATTCTATGTTTGCTTTGGCAATACAATTCTAGTTCTTTCACCATCAAGAAAGAGCACCAAATAGTGACAATGGTTTGTTTTTGGTTCCTTTCAATACTATGGATGCAAGCTGCAGCCCTGCCCATAGGGTCTCTCCGAGATGAGCTGAGATGTTTCATGGTCGGCATGACGCGGGAGTCAGTGCATGTCTGTGATTCACAGACAACCTGCCTCATGAGCTTCTAGGTATGAAAGCTGAGGGCCTGCAGAATGCATGAATGGAGAGTGCCTGGAAGGCTTGTGAATCTGAATAACTGCTCTCATTTGGATAATGCTCATAAACATACTAAGGCAATGTTAAAAACAGATTAGGCAGTGAGGGAAAATTACTACACAGGTGTTACCTGCTTTTCAAAAGTTTGTGGTATGCTAGTTTGCTACTATGAAAGTCTACATTAGTATCTGTTTTCCTTAACCAAGAGAAACCTTAAGAGGATTTTTCCTTTTATGAAAAAAGGTGAAAAGTGAAAAAAACATTCATCATTCGTTTTGCAGTGAGCCATTCCAGAGGCAGTGGGAACCCCCAAGCAGCAGCAGGGGCCGCGCTGAGCTCCTTCCCCGGATCCACACACAGCATCCCCGCATCAAGTTGCCAGAGCTTGGAACTGTATCTGTGGGCACCTTTATCTCCACTTATTCTGTACATTCATTAAGATGTGTCCTAAGGCATCAGAAAAGCTATGAGAGGTTATTTTTTGGGGTCTGAGAACACTCAAAAACTTTCCATATAAATTAATGGCAATTGCTTCTTTGCTTTACATTTCCACCGTTTTGGCTTACAAGAAGTTTCATAGGAACGTTCTACTTCTGGATAGCAGAGGAACCTGTATTCAGTTTGAGTTTTGCCTGCTTGGATTTCATTCCTGTGATTTGGACCTCACGTTCAATTTCTATAAAGATGATCTCCCTACACACGACAGCATTAGGACCACATGAGGCTATGAGCAAGGGGTGATGGCAAAGGAGTCCTGAGCCCACTTTTGACATAATAATCCCGGGTCCAGTGGATATCATGGAGATAGAGTCAATCTTCTTCCCCCAAAGCTTCTGGAATGCCAGTTTGCTATGGGAAAGACTACATACAAAATGATTTACTCAACGGTCAATTGGGTTCATTTTAGTTCTTGAAATAGAGAAGCAGTGTTGGAGTAAGGTGGGTACCTGGCTTCAGGAGAGCCAATCCTAATTCACTCTGTACAATGGCATGACTCAAAATGATAAACTGGGTCAATCTGGTTCTCATTAGAAGGTTTACTTTTTTCATCTTGACCTGAAAAAGCTGTGAGAATAAGGCAATTCAGTAATGGAAGGTGAAGCAAAGGGATCCATGGTGATGAGGCAGGTGGAGGGGCCATGGGATACAATGCACAAACTGAAGCTTTAGGAAGCAGAGGCTATGAGCAGGCGGAAAATCAGGGAATGAGGAGAAAATGCCAGGGAGAGGAGAGAGGAAGAGATGCACCACAAAGAACTAAGATGCCACTGCGGGAGACCATGTGGGTTATTCTTCAGTTCCTTTTATGAGTGCCTCTCCCTCTGACACATACAGAATATTATTGGCCTCCGTACCTTGCTCTCAGCCCTGTTCTCCTCCCGTTCTGCAC